CTCTCTCTCTCTCTCTCTCTCTCTCTCTCTCTCTCTCTCTCTCTCTCTCTCTCTCTCTCTCTCTCTCTCTCTCTCTCTCTCTCTCAATTCGAGTATCGATCGATCATCGAAGTCGCGCTTTCTCTCCCTTTTTTTCTTCCTCCTCTCCCGTTTTTTTTCCCTCCCTCCTTTTTCCCGCCCCCACTCCCTCCTTTTTCCGCACGCCGGCCACCGTGAACGCTGCGAACGACGGTGACGTTGAGGCGTAAGTCGGATGTAAATGGCATAAAAAGTTTTGAGCGTGCATATGCACGAGTCGGTGGTGCAACCGGGCGCGGCGGGAGTATGAACAAGGGTGTGGTGGCGGGGCGTTGGTGGAATATGGCAACTGGAATTGCACGCTGGCAGAAGCGAGAGAAAGAGCCCTGGCCTCGGGAGAGAAAGAGGAGGGACGGTTTGAGAGGCAACGACAAAGACAGAGAGAGAGAGAGAGGGGGACGGATAGAGGGGCAAAGTGACAAAGAGAGAGGCGGAGGAAAAGGGAGAGGCGACGAGGGTAGAGGCGAGCGACGATCAATACGCCATCAGCTTAAATTACAATAATAACGCCGACCGGACAAAGCTGAGCGCGGTTATTATAAAATAGTGCAGTCGTAAAAAGCTCGCGGGGGTTCACCCGTGCTTGGACAAACACCCCGTGCCCCGTTTTTAATCGGTGCCGAAAATAAAACGCGGTTGGCGCGGCGGGGTCGAGGATCCCGATGGATCAGTTGGCCATTACCGTTCCTCGTTCGTTATTTAGACCGATGTTATTTGGATCAGGGTCGGGAAGGGGAGGGTTTCATCGATTCGCGCGGAAATAGATCCATTATACTCGTGTGTGTGTGTGTGTGTGTGCCCGTGTATACGCGAGTATAGTTTCACGTGGCGTTATTAAACGGCCGTTTCGATCGATCATAGACGGTCAATTTTAACGTACGTGGCCGCGGTTTACGTACGCGCGTCAATGTCTTCGTCATTTCGCAATTACGCGCATATCTGGTGATAAAAAAAAAAGGGCGCGATTCGAGCAATTACGCTCGTCGATATTTAAATCGAAAACGATATCAATGTTTATGAACGCGTTGAAATCGTAACGATTCCCACGAAACTCGCGGAGGGACGCGCGTCGATGAGTTTTAAATTTTCTCGGGATAAACGTCCCGAATTATTAACCTAATAATAACAATAGAGATTCGTACGCGCGATTGTCACGGCGTGTAATTAACGCGATAAAGTAGTGAGAAAATGCGGAATGTAAACGAGGGAGATCGGAAATAAATGTAAATTTGTCGAGAGAGAAAGAGAGAGCGTACCGGCTCTCGAATAATAACGGTAACGGTGACAAAGGAAGGTCTTCTTTCACGGTTGTGAAAAATTGATACCGAGATCTTTGTCCGTTTCAACGAGTCTGCGGAGATTTCTTTCCCCGTCCGAGAGATTCGAAATGCATTTTCGAGGTATCGAGAGATGGGAGAAGACGGTCGTAGAAAAATCGATGAAAGATGTAGATTACGTTTCTTCTTCTTGCTTTCTATTTCTTCCCTTAATTACGATTCATCGAGTTCTTCGATCGCGCGAATCTTGAAGGAGCGCATCAATTCCAAACTTGTAAACTTTTTCCTCGTTCGAAACTTGGATCTGACAGCTAGGAACCGCTCGCGTGCTTTTCGATCGGATGCTTAAAGCGAAACGGCTTTTGTCGGCCGAAAATAGCGATTGTGTCCCAATATTTCGCTCGTACGCGACCGCAATTAAACTTTTTTATAATTTCCACTTTTCGCAAATATTCATCAAGCTATTTTAAACACGGTTCTCCGATATATTTTACAAAAAAAAGCAATTGAAATATAAGAACGGTATAAATGCTCGACGACTACCACTACTACTACTACTACTACACTCTGCTTTATTATAAAATTGAAAACTATATCCAACTGTATGATGTTCAAACGTTCGACCGTTCTCGATCCAAGAGTCCTCGACGACCGTATGTTCGATAATTTCCTTCGAACCCCGAAAAAATGTCAAATAAACCTGCTTATAATCGATAAATAGAACGAAAATTATCGTTAAATCTTAAATTTAAAAAAAAAGGAAAAGGAAGAGAAAGACGAAATCGAAAGAAGTTATCCCTTCTTTCTGTTTCAGACCCTCACACCCCGGTTCCGCCGAGGTTCAACGAACGAGTGAGTCCAGCGCCTATAAGGACGGGGGAGACGATCGTCCTCTCCTGCATCTCGCAGGGAATCCCGCCACCCATGTATCTGTGGTTCCGCGAGTCCGTGACGGGGACCGCGATGATCTTCAATTCGGAGAGGATCTACGCGAGAGCGGGGGTCCTCGTGCTGCAATCGGCGAGGGCAGAGGACGCGGGGCGATACGTGTGCCACGCCAACAATACGGCCGGTTCCGAGATGGTCGAATTGGAAGTCTCCATTATAAGCAGCCTCTCCATCCACCTGGTCCCTCAACAGGTTAGTTTTCGATGCTTTTCAATCAGCTCGCGAACGTATTTGCTCCAAGCACGTATATTATACTTTGGAACGTACGTTGACACTTTTATTCGATGTCGTTTGTATTTCGTTTCTACTCTTTCGAACTCGATAATCTGAAAAACGTTAGATGGATGCGTTTTAAAAAAAGGAATAATGCATCATCTTTTATATTCGAAAAAGATCGAGTAATTACGTTGAAGTGTAATTTGTAATTAAAAAGATGATAGAAACTTTATTCGGAATAAAAAGTACGTATATGAACAGCCTCTCCATTCACTCGATACTTCAACAGGTTAGTTCAGGCTACTTTCGTTTAATCTTTGTAACCCGTCGAATTATTCCGTTCCTTTCAACGGACATCTTTTTCATCCGTTTAATTCCTTTTTACTCCACGCATCGTATATCTTGTGTGTGTGTGTGTGTATCTTTTCTATCGCGCAACGACGAGAAAAATATGCGACGACGAATCTCTAAAAAGAAGAAAAAAAAAAAAAATGTAACTCGCGATCGCGAAGATGGTTTAAAATCACGAATAACTAAACTTCGAAAGAGGCAACAGTTTCAACAGGTTACCTTTCCGTTCCTTTCGAATGGATATCACCGACCATCGGATTCCTTTTTATCCGCTCGAACGACAACTTTGATCCGGATTCCGCCGTTCAATCGGCGATAAGCAGCACGGGGTAGCACGATTATTTAAACGAAGAAGTTTCCCGCGCCTCGAGATCCTCGAAAAATTCTACCTTCCCCCTCCTCGTCCAAGCGACAAGTCTCAACAGGTTAACGGCATTCTCCTATCCGGCATCGATTGGATTTCTGAAACGAATCGAACGATTCGGTCGCCCTCCTGTTTCACCCTTGGCGGGTGGATAATCCTAATCCTTCGAGAAATCTCGAGGGTGTCGCGCCGATATTCTCGATCGAGCGACGCGACCAACCAACCCTCGCTCGATCTCTCCACACAGTCTCGATTACTTCCGAATTTTTCGAGGAAAAATTTCCTATTTCGTCGTTCGACGACGAAATAAATTTTCACATACGCGTTTCTCAAGTCGGATCGCAAGAAAGACCGTGGTTCTCTCGATGATAAGTAGCTCCTCCTCTTCATCCGGTTGATACCTCAACAGGTTACCTCTCCTTTATTCTATTTCGTAAACAACTCGAGTGCCGCGGAGCGGTTACTTTTTCTTTCTCCCGACCGTCTTCTTTTCGTTTCCTCTTCTCTCTCTCTCTCTC